TCAACAACTTCAAACCCGCGAGCCGACCTACTGTTAGGGTTAGAGTTCTTCTCAGTAACTATACTCCCACTGGTGTCTAGAAGCAACGATCCATCACAACCCTGCACATTTTTTCATTGAAATAGATAAAATTAGTTATGATTCTCATTTCTCAGCATTAGTAGTTAGCTTGTTGGGAAAGTTACTTAAAAAAACAAACTCTCTAGTACCTGAACGAAACAATCGTGGAAATGGAGCCTCATGAGAGAAGCAGCCATACGAGTCTCCCTTGCAACAGCTTTGGCTACAACTGACCTCACAATCTCCTCGGCTCTAGGACACGAGCTTCTGTAGAAACCTGGGAAGAGGTTCCCTTTGTTGCCGCCATAGTACATACTCTCGTCGTCATCGCAGATGCAGAGAGTAAGAGCGTAAGTGAGATAAAGAATAATGAGAAAGCTTCCTATTCTTGCCATTGCCAATTTCCGCTAGCTAGATCAAGAAAGAAGAATGGAGATGACTTTGTGATGGTAAGAGATATGGAAGAGGAGAAGAAGGGTCGAAAGTATATATAGGCCAGAGAGTTCGTGGATTTTGGCGTCATGAAGAGGAAAAAGCAAAGGCAATAGAGTTGGTACCTTGATTGGAGTTAATCAATTCTGAGAAATAAATTAAAAATGATAATATATTGAAAAAAAATGGTTTGAATTCAAAGAGACTAAATCATGGGTTTGGTTAATGTCCCAAACTTGCATGAGTTGTTTGACTATTTCACCGCCATTTTGGTTACAAAACTAGTTTTAAGGTTTTTATAAAGTTAAAACTAAAATTTATTTTGATAGAGCCAAAATAGAACCAAAAGTTGAAAGTAGTGATTAAAAGGTTTGGATTGAACTTTGTGACGAATTTATGGTGATCTAATAGTAGTTGACAATATATCACTAATTATGTTGAAAAACTAGGATTAGTAATCCTTTTTTTGGCTTTAGATTTTGAATCTTTTTATGCATTTTCAATCATGTTATTATTAAACGGTAAGATTGTTCGGCTCTTTACAGTTTCGAAAATTAGTTTGACTGCCATTTCGGGATATATAACTTTGTTTAAAAAGAGTCATGAGTATATGAACTCTTACCGACAGATATAGAACGTCAAAATTGATCACGTGAGTCACATTTTTATAGGAAGATTTTTATTTTTGGTTGAAGCTAACAAGCTAGATACAATGTATATTGATATGAAATATAGATGTGACTAAATGACAAACATAGAAAGAAAGATAGAGGGAGAATTAGTTATGAGTGAGAAGAAAATAAACAAATACTGTATTATATTAAAAATGGTGATTCGGTCACAAAGCACGCGGCAAATCTTAAACGCGTTTTTTAATTCTTGACACTTAAGATTTAAACCTAATTAACTACAATAAAAAAGAAGCTTTATATAGTTTTACTTGGTCGTGGTTTAGTAAGTAGTCTAGCAAATATGTTTGTGAAGGTTTCACAAGTCTTCTTTCGTGTGATAAAATATTAACTAAAAGGGACAAAGAGTATGAACAGTTTCTAACTGCTCTCTTGACAAAAGGCAAAACAATGAATCCCTCCAAATTTATTCGTTTGTTGACTTATAAACAATAAAAAATGCAAAAAGGTTTTTGTCTTCTATCATAAAACATGGATATGCAGGTAAAAAGCGAATCTCAAAGGTGTATAAAACTATGAACATTTCAACGCGTGTGTGATTCCTGCTTGCATTTGGTTTTGACTCTTGACGTTGTCTCTCTTTCTAGAAACTAATCAATGACTTTATTTCTATTTTTTTGGTATCAATGTTAAGTAAACTAATCAATGGTCAAGAAACAAAAACCCAAAAACGCATGTCATCATATATCCTAAGGGGTACAGGGTACTTGGACTGAGTTATGTTTTGCAGAGGCATGTCTAGAATGTTAAGGACATAAGACGAGTTTAATTAATGGTTCTTTGATCTATCAAGTATATATACTGTATGATTTTATTATTTATTATTATTTCAATTTAATACAGATTTTATGGATGAAAACAGTAAAGCATTAATATAAATAATTTCTATCAAAATAGATTATAGTTCATCATGAGCTTTATTTAGTAGAAAAGAAAATAAAAAACTTAAAATTGTTACAAGAACTAAATTCAATCAAGATGTTAGTATGAAGAAGAAACAAGAGAGAAATAGAAGCTGCATGTTTTTGCAACTCGACAATTTCATCGATGCTCATTACACTCGGGAAAAGGGGATTTTCATACCCGTACTATCTGCACCGTAGATTTTCATACCTGGACAATTTCGTAGGGTATTTTACAACCTAAACTTTAATAAAATTTGAATCTCATACCTATACTTGATACAACGTGCAAAAATCGGAGTCAATCTAACGGGTGTTAGTCAACTCCGTTACGGTGCTGAGTCATCGTACACGTGTACGCTGACGTGTATCAAAACGACGTTATTTTTATACCCGTACTGTCTGCGCCGTGGATTTTCATACCTGAACAATTTTGTAGGGTATTTTACAACCTAAACTTCAATAAAATTTGAATCTCATACCCTATATTTGATACAACGTGCAAAAATCGGAGTCAATCTAACGGCTGTTAGTCAACTCCGTTACGGTGCGTATCGAAATGACGTCGTTTTGCTATGTGTTGTCAAAGTTTTCAATGTTTTTGCAAAATTGGGGACTCGAACCATCGAGCCGTAGTCACATGAGAAGCACCGAATACCAACTGATCCCACAACGTTCATTGAACCCGCGAGCCGTAGTCAATCGTTTTAAATTGGGAGGAAATTATGAATACTAGGGTTTCGAATTGAGAAATCGTTTTCTCATTTCTTCTTCTTCTTCTCAGAAATTAGGCATGAACAAAGTTTTACCATGTGACTACGGCTTCGCACAACTTTTTGGATTTATAAGTTAAAAAGATTGTGGAATACTCGATGTACGTTGTGGGATCAGTTGGTATTCGGTGTTTCCCATGTGACTACGGTTCGCGGGTTCGAGTCCCCATGACGTCGTTTTGATACGCACTGTAACAGAGTTGACTAACACCCGTTAGATTGACTCCGATTTTTGTACGTTGTATCAAGTATAGGGTATGAGATTCAAATTTTATTGAAGTTTATGTTGTAAAATACCCTACAAAATTGTCCAGGTATGAAAATCCACGGCATAGACAGTATGGATATGAAAACGACGTCGTTTTGATACACGTCAGCGTACACGTGTACGATGATTCAACACCGTAACAGAGTTGACTAACACCCGTTAGATTGACTCCGATTTTTGCACGTTGTATCAAGTATAGGTATGAGATTCAAATTTTATTGAAGTTTAGGTTGTAAAATACCCTACGAAATTGTTCAGGTATGAAAATCCACGGTGCAGATAGTACAAGTATGAAAATCCCCTTTTTCCCATTACACTCATATATGAATACGAATCTATACTTGCTAGAAACCTAGTTACAAAGACTTGTTTTCTCCTAGTATTGGGTTTGTGAATGTTTGCTTCAATATAATATAGTTACGTAAAATCATCAACAATTTCAAACGATATATGTTTTAAGTGTTTGACAAAAGAAAAAACAAAACTTCGAGTTGTGTTCTTTAACTTTGGTTGAGAACCTAAAAAAGGTTGAGAAGCAAATAATGATGGTAATATCTAGAGATAAATAAACTTCAGAGATTTTATGATGCTATAAAAACATCTAACTATCTAAGTTTCAATAATTCAGAATTCAGCACATTAAAATTGGAGAAGCAATGGACCGATACGGATTTGCAACAAATAAAACTTTTAAGAAGTGGACCAGCAATATCTAAGTGGGCCAAACTTAATTAGGCTTAGAACAATATGGCCGAATAAAACAATAATTAAGAAAATATTATTGGATTTTTGATTAGGTATATACTTTTAGAGAGTGATGAACCAAAATGGACACAATAAAAAATCTTAGAATATGTAAAGATATATAACTCTTTCTCAAACACTACAACCCCAACCCCAAGTGATCATCTCTCTTTCATAGGCTCTCCGATTTTAATGCGTTTCATCTTTAATTAGTATCCTCGAGAAGTAATTATCTTTAGAATGGATCAATAACTCTCTCAAACACTAACACTCATAGTGAGCTCTTTAATAAAACTCATAGATAGGCTCTTCGATTTTACATGTATTCACCCTTAACATATCGACGAAACAGTAGTTAATCATGGACTACCGCGGCCTGACCGTAGAACTTAATCCTCTAATTACATCATATTACCACTTCTTAAGTTTTTCTAATCAGTTGCATGGTTTTATTTTTAATTTGAACACTATAATATTATCGAAGATACAACACAGTGTCTGTCATGTATCCATAATTATTTGTTTGTAGCTTTATTACAACATTTTGTTTTGCTCCATAAAAGTTATCTTATTTCAAGAAGACGTAAAATCTAGACGAACAAAAGTGTGTTTATTGTGTGTATTGAGGATGAAAAATACGAAATGCTTATGAATCACATGTGTACCCATCGATACACTTGTGGATCTTTAACACAAACAAACAAAAGTGCTCATTCATAGATAGGCACACCTAATAATTGTCCGATGTCATATACGAAAAATAATAGCCCATCGTTAGTGATGAGATCTTTTTTTATTTATATATTTTTAAAATTAAACAAATCAGAAGAAACAGCCAATTATTTTCAGAAGTGTGTAGCTTCACATATACGAGAAGAATAGGACATCCAATAACGACTATTTTTATTTTGTTGTTGTTTATATTTCGTTTTCATATATATGTCTTGATATAACATAAAGTTAAGATTGAAATCGTAAAGACTCAAGACCAACTTTTTATTTATCCTTTATCTTATAAAGCACAAGTCACCTAACCAATAAAATTTTGACATGTGGCAAATCTATAAAAAAATTACAACTAAATGTGTCATAATTTTACATATAATTTTTATTATTTACCATTTATTACAAAATTTATCAGATATTCTTGGAAAAAAAACTACCCACGTTCTATGTGCCCACATTCTCCACTTTTTACCAAATCCCAAAATCTCCATAACTTCTTCAAAATTTCTTTATAAATAAAATTATCGTGACAAAACATTTATTCTTAAAAAAAAATTTGATCGCCAATTTTCTTTTTCGAATAGAGTCATCATGAAGTGTCTAGCATCCCCAATCCCTTCCAACGAGTCAAGGTCATCTGTCAATATACTTTTCCATCTTTGTCATGATATTGTATGAATCATGTTTATATATCTAACTCTCTTTTCCTAATTATTTTACGCAAGAGTTAGAAATACGGTTCTGCATTATCAACGTCCTTGATCACAATATTGGTTTAAAGCAATAAATCTGACCAAAACTTACTGAGATTCGAGTTAAGGTAACTACTTTTTATTTGTTTCACTGTTTAATAGTATTATCTTTCATAATCATTTTTATTATTAATTTTTGGTTTGTTTGTCAAGGTTTAGACGTTTATGAATTTCTTTTCTAAAATTCTCTTTGTTAGGATTTCTTCTTTTCTAAACAAAATATTCTCACAATGCAGTTGGGTAGTTGAACGAGGAACGCAATAAAAGCTGCAAGTCATTCCAGTATCACTGAGTAAAGCAAGCCAAAACTCAATAATTACGTTCGTCACAAGTTAGTTTTGTTTAGTAACTTTACTCTATTCAAATTAACGATCCATGTTCTAAACTTCTAATATGTTTGTTATTTTCTATCAATAGTAAGACAAGAAGCCACATGACGAAAGACAATCTTGAGGTAAACTCTATCGGTGCATAGCACCGGGTATAATTCTAGTTTATAATAAGATTCAAAAGGGATAAAAGATAAACATAAGCCTTATTCACTCACAATAATACAAGTGTGCCAAAAATATAGAGATTTTAAAAGTCACGGATTAAATTCGCATTGGAAAGAGTTTGCTTTCTGAAAAAAAGAATTCGATTACATGATCTAGGGAATGTACGGACTTATATGGCTTGAATCTTCTAATAATCAATATATACTAGATGTTAACCCGCGGTACACCGCGGGCCTATAATTTTATTAAATAATTAAAATAAATTTTATAAAGATGATCTATAGATATATACTATTGTTTTGTTTGATTTAAATGTATGGTACACCGCATGACGATATTTTATAACTAAAAAATTAAAATAAAATTTTTATTTGTTTTGTTAATATTATTTGTTTAGTTTTGTTTAGTGTTTAAGATTGTATAGTTATATTTTGATTGTCAATTCTAGGATTTCACACGTGGTATATCATACAGTATTAATATCGACCCAAAATTCAAATAGTCTTTTGATTGTTATATCTAGGATTTCACCCGTAATATACCGTTCCGTATTAATATCTTTTGTAGATATTTATAAGGTTTAAATTTCTGACAAATTCTTAAAAATTCAAATATTTATTTTATTTGAAAGTTTATAAAATTCTTAATATTATAAATATTAAAAATGAAATAGAAAATTAACAATATGGAATATTTATTCATATTTGTAGATAAAGTTTTTTTATATTAACTAATAGATAAAAAATTGTAGTAATGGCATTCTCTAGGATATAACCCGTAGTAGAACACAAACAACATTATATTTTATGCATTTTGTATCATAAAGAACATCTCTTTACGATGTTGTTTACTTTACTATGATTATGCAATCATTACTCTAATATGAAGTTTGGTTTGAGTTCGATTGCTACCAAACCTTATCGAGATTCATTTCTTACTTATGCGGAGTCAAGATGTTGAAACTGTTATAGTTTCAGATGGAAGCTTGGGACAAAAATCATAAATGTGATCAGCCAACAATTCTACATGAACTCCACCCTCGAATGGTTTCTAGATAAAAAATTGTATAGTTCAAAAATTTATATAATTAGCTTTGTAAAAGTATTGATGCTGGATTCTTTCGTATTAAACAAAAATCAAATTTAATACAAAAAAAAACAAAATTGAAACTTTATTAGAAAATGTCTCCAACACCCATTTTCGAAAGAAGCGCATTGACTGTAATGGAGGATAGAAATAGGAGGAGACTGAAAAGCCGAAGAAGAGCAAGCCTCCAACAGTTGCAACCGTCCGTTGTGAGATCCTTAAAGCCAGCATGCTTCCTCCAACAACCGCTGGTGAAGTACACAACGCGTTTGTCCAATAGTTGCCCCGATGGACAATCCTATATCGACACTTCAAAAAAGATAAATGTCATTCACTGGTCAATTTTTTTAAGAAGCTAGATTTGAAAGATGAGTCTTACATCTATTGTAGCGATCTTGCTACGGTCACCCCATTCAGCTAGAAAGGTTAAGTTGAAGGACTGCAAGAAAATACAACATAAAGGACTTTTTAAACAGTTTACGGCTAAATTACAAACTGAAAGCATCAATATGCCCAATAGACAATTACCTCTAGAAATATTGGGGTACAAAATCTTGAGAATAAGCGACGGAAGGCTGACTTCCCTTGGCATGACTTGAGCTTCTCTTAAACCTTTACCAAAGAAAATGGGAAGTCAGATAACTTTGAATGTTAATAACAAATAAGAACGTCAGACATAATCTTTTTTAATTATAAAAATGCAAACAACTACCAATTTGAAGCCCGTTGACGTTTGGTATTTATAGATGCATTGTTCATGTAGGGTTAAGTGTTGGTGTCGGATCCCGCACCAGAAGTCCGCGACCAACCAAAGATTGCCACGTAGTCAAAATAATGGCCCATAAAGGACGAAGCCCAATGGACCCATGAGTCGAAGGAAAGGTCGAAGTGGTCGTCACCACTTCGAGAATCCGAAGTGAATGCACTATGACACAAGTTCGAAGTAGAAGACACGGGTAAGTCGGTTCAAGGACACTTGGGCCAAAAAGGCGAGGCCCGTGAAGATCAGAGTCAACTCAAATTCAAACGTTGAGCATTGAAGTCGAAGAATCAAAACGGACACATTTAAGAAGGAATAATTGTACTTAATTACTCATTTTAATGTCGTTTCCCTATGTATAAATATAGAGGTCAATGGCTATGTAAAAGGGACCCTTCCTCTGGAGAGATAAAGAATATAGCAATTTTCGTAACAATTCACAAGTTTTTATACATTCATTTTTGTCCCTCAAGAATAATCTTTCCCACCTAATAGAATACTTGAGTGTGTGAATCCGACATCCACATTTTGGCGCCGCCTGTGGGGAAATTAGGTTCTTGAGTGGTCAGATTTTTTCTTTATCACACTTCCGAGATAAGCAACAATGTCCGGAGGAGACGCCGCTGAGACATCATTGGCCGAAACCCTCAAAGCCATGCAGCAAACCATGTCGGACATATCACAAAAGTTCTCGGATGTGGAAAAGGCCGTCGATACGTTGCAAACATCCCAGGTATCTCTTAGTCAAAACGTCAATACTATACAAACTCGTGTTCGCTCTTTAAGTGCAGGAAACCCGGTGGGAATCCGAAGAGGGATATTCAACTCGCCAAGTTCCGCTGCACGAAATGAAACCAGCGGACAAACAACCCCCGGTGCTACTAATAATGTAGCTCAGACGTTGGAGGAAGAGACGCAGCTCGGGGATGAAGAACAACTTGCAGCTCAGTATGAGCAGGAGAACCTCGACCAGTTCGAGACCATGAGGAAGGTTAGCCAGGAATTAAAAGAAATGAAATCAAAATTTCATCAAGCTACAAGTTCAGAGCCAGACATCAATCGAGTCATTGAAGAAGCTAGGCGAACACCTTTCATCTCGCGAATTGCGAGTTTGAGGATCAAAGATTCCCGGAAACTCAAATTGGACCCTTACAGCGGATTGGAGGATCCAAAAAGCTATCTCGCAGCTTTTCTGATCACTGCAGGAAGAGTCGAATTGGATGAAGCTGATGAGGACGCAGGCTATTGCAAGCTGTTTTCGGAGAATCTATGTGGCCAAGCTCTAATGTGGTTCACCCAATTAGAGCCGGGTTCGATCAGCAATTTCGACGAACTATCGGCCGTATTCTTAAAGCAATACTCCATCCTTATGGATAAAAGCGTTTCGGATGCTGATCTTTGGAACTTAACGCAAGGATCTAATGAGTCACTTCGAGTTTTCATCACCAAATTCAAAGGAGTGCTGTCAAAACTCCCAAGAATCTCACAGCAATCAGCTTTATCTGCCTTACGAAAAGGATTGCGACATGATTCAAGGTTTAAAGAAGACTTAATACTTCATAAACCAGACACAATTCAGGATGCACTCTTCCGCGCGAACAACTGGATGGAGGTAGAGGACGAAAAAGAAAGTTTTGCCAAAAGGAATAAACAAGAAAAGTCGGCGATCACCGTCCCTACCAGGAAGTTCGAGCCTAGGGAGAGCAAGGGACCAAAGAAGTTTGGGTCGCAACCCTTCAACAATACCGTCGGGAAGCAATTCCAAGGGAAAGGAAGATCAAACACTTGGGTCCGTGATGAAAGTCTATATTGCGACATTCATAAAGTAACCGGACATTTAACCAAGGATTGCAGCGTTCTTAAAAAGCACCTCGCAGAGCTTTGGGCTAGTGGCGATCTTTCTAAATTTGATATAAAAGATTTTGTGAAGGAATACCACGAAGCAAAGGAAAACTCCAAAGATCAAGATTCCAAAAGACCAAGGTTATCCAACGAGGAAGAACCAAGAAGATGAAGGGTAAGATCAATGTGATTCTAGGAGGTTCCAGATTTTGCGGAGATTCAATAAGTTCCATCAAAAAGCATAGACGAAATGTCTTACTCAAAGCAAGCTTGAGCGAAGAAATTGATTTTCAAGGTGCCTCAATATCATTTAACGAAGAAGAAACACGGCATCTCGAAAGACCGCACGATGATGCTCTAGTCATTACCCTTGATGTCGCTAACTTCGAAGTATCAAGGATCCTTATAGATACAGGCAGTTCGGTCGACTTGATCTTTTTAAGTACTCTAGAAAAAATGGGAATCAGCCGAGGAGACATAGTAGGACCCCCATCTTCGTTAGTTGCGTTCACAAGCGAGTCAGCCATGTCTCTCGGAACAATCAAGCTACCGGTCCTTGCCAAGAAGGTATCGAAGATCGTGGACTTTGTTGTCTTCGATAAGCCCGCAGCTTACAATATTATCCTCGGGACTCCCTGGATTTATCGAATGAAAGCAGTCCCCTCTACATATCATCAATGTATCAAATTTCCAACATCAAATGGGGTGGAAACAATTCGGGGAAATCAAGAAGCTTCACGGACATGTTACCTAGCTAGCCACCGTATGAAGATTCAATAGCAACTAACGAAGCCCGTAAAAGAGGGACCAAGAACAAAATTTCCTAGCGGGCAGATGAAAGATGATGTAGTAATCGAAGTGGTGTTGGAAGAAGACAAGCCGGACCGGAAAATTCGAATTGGAGCAACTATGACTGGCCAAATAAAAGAAGCTTTGATCGAACTCTTAAAGAGAAACAAAACATCGTTTGCATGGTCAGCAGCAGACATGCCGGGTATAGATCCAAGTATAATTTGTCATGAGCTAAATGTAGATCCGAGCTTCAAGCCGGTGAAACAGAAAAGAAGAAAGCTCGGAGTAGAACGAGCCAAAATAGTAAATGACGAAGTAGATAAACTTTTGAAGATAGGATCCATAAGAGAAGTGCAATACCCGGAATGGATAGCAAACATTGTCGTCGTCAAAAAGAAGAACGGGAAAGATAGGGTTTGCATCGATTTCACAGACCTAAATAAAGCATGTCCCAAAGATAGTTTCCCGCTCCCACATATAGATCGACTTGTAGAGTCCACCGCTGGGAACGAGTTGTTAACATTCATGGACGCCTTCTCAGGTTATAATCAAATAATGATGAACCCCGAAGATCAAGAAAAGACGTCATTCATTACTGATAGAGGTATCTATTGTTACAAGGTAATGCCTTTTGGTTTGAAAAATGCAGGAGCAACTTACCAACGGTTAGTTAACAAGATGTTCCATAATCATCTCGGGAAAACAATGGAAGTCTACATAGATGATATGTTGGTTAAGTCGTTAAAGAAAGAGGATCACGTTAAGCATTTAG